TTTCAAGTAAAATGCGTCCTCTGTTGTTGCATGTTGACAGAAGTTCCTCAGTCTCATTTGAAAGAAAGGATTAATTTAATGCATGCTTATGCCCTATGGTTTGGCATCACAGTTCATTTATTTCTGCCTCCATTTGACTTTTGGCATATGAAATTTGTTCAAAAAACTTGCCAACCATTATGTGAAACCGCTCCTTTTATTTTTAAATAAGTAGTTCCTAAAAATAATAGGACTGTTAAAATCCCTCCCTTCGTGCAGCCCTTCCAGACCCACTAAAATAGCAGCTCTCATAAAACAATACAAAAGCTAATCAATTTGCTGGTTAAGAAAACAAAGGAATGAAAAAATGTAGTAATCTAAACTTATCTACTTCAGAAAAATAAAAGTTGAACTTAATCATCAGCTTGCAGCTAACCCCTACTTCTACTAATACAGAACAAATCAAATGCAGCAGTCTAAACTTGGGGTGTAGAGAGGAACATCAGACTTAGAAAACCACCTTCAAATGCTGACCTCTTTGCTAAAGCCAATGGAGGATATAAATATATCAATTCTGAGATAACAGCTCCCCCTGCAAAACTGTCCTTCACACCCCTCCCCAGTCAGCAATTGGCGCATGTGTTTGGCTGCTATTGGTAAGGCCAGTCTGAAGCCATTAGATAAGAAAGCTGCTTTGTTATACCGAACCTAGATCAGACCTGTCACACAATGGTATTTGGCTCTTAAAGATCCCTACTTTTACAAACCTACAGTTAGATGAGGTCTCATTATTATTTCTTTTTCCAGCAAAAATAATTTATAGCTCTTACAATTTTCAGAGAAAATGTTGACAACAGACTCTATAAAGCAAGCAGAAATATCCTATATGCACACTTAAAAAGCACTGCAGAATGAGGGGGTATGATTTAAAAAACAAACAAACAAACAACAGACAGAACCTCTTCCACAAATGCATGTCATTAGCAACATACTGGCTGGGAGATAGATGGATTATAATCCTCAGGAGCCACTTTGCTTCCCTTGCAACTATTCAGTAGCTAAACCTATGTAAGAGGAATCATAGAATGGCCTGAGTTGAAAAGGATCACACTGATCATCCAGTTTCAACCCCCTGCTATGTGCAGGGTTGCCAACCAGCAGACCAGGCTGCCCAGAGCAACATCCAGCCTGGCCTTGAATGCCTCCAGGGATGGGGCATCCACAGCCTCCTTGGGCAACCTGTTCCAGTGCGTCACCACCCTCTGTGTGGTGCCTCCTAAAGGAGGAATCTGTATACAAAGCTCTACATTCTCAAGGGGAAGGGAGAGAAGTGGACACAAATGTAATATAACAACCCAGATTATCCAAATACTATGAAAAATGCAGAAGAGCACAACCTGGAAACTCAGACACCCAAAAGTGAAGTTCATGTGGGTCCTTCGATACTCAGAAATACTTCAGTATCTCTACCATGACTCCTCCAGTGCTCCAAATTTGTCGTCTTAACCATAGATGTCAACCACCCCCATTCAGATTTCCAGCCAAGCTCATAAAATACCCGAACGAGGAGCAGAGCAGGTTTGCACAGAGCCCAGTTCAGGTCCACGAGGACTTATTTCAGATACTGCTGAAAGCAGCTGTACTGCAATACTGGTTCTAGAAACAGCAGAGATGCGTTAGCATGGCACAGCACTTGAAATAAGAAACTCTCAGTGCTGAGCAGAATCTGCTATAGGCCAAATCTGGAACCTGTATAGCCACGACATAGTTAATCTCCATCTGGAGAAACGGCCCAGAGAGCTGACTTGACTTTAAGCACAGCTCAACCGCTACGTGCATGTCCAATTTTTCCATCCTCACCAAGTATACACCCTAATCACCTCACTCCATATGACCAATCCTCCCTTTTTCTGATTGCTTATTACTTTCTCTTGGTGATTCACATCCATAGAATCAGAATAGTTGAGGCTGGAAGGGACCTTTAAGATCATCTAGTTCAAAGCCCCTGCTACAGGTAGGGACACCTCCCTCTAGACCAGGTTGCTCACAGCCCATCCAGCCTAGCTTTGAATGCTTCCAGGCAGGGGGCACCCACAGCCTGTGTGGGTAACCTGTTCCACTGTCTCACCACCTCACAGAAAAGAATTTCTTCTTTATATTCTGTCCAAATGTACCCTCTTCCACTTCAGAACTATTCCTCTTGTCCTGTTGCTCCATGCCCTTCTAAAAAGTCCCTTCCCAGCTTTCCTGTAGGCCCTGTTCAGGTACTTGAGGGCCTCTATAAGCTTCCCCCAGAGCTTTCTCTTCTCCAGGCTGAAGAGCCCCAGCTCTCAGCCTGACTTTGTAGGGCAGGTACTTCCAGCCCTTTGAGCATCCTCATGACCCATCCTCTTCAACAGCTCCATATCCTTCTTGTGTTGGGGACCTCAGAACTGGAGGCAGCACTGCAGATGGGGTCTCACAAGAGCAGAGTAGAGGGGCAGAACCCATTTCACAAGCTTCCTCTAAATGCTCATGATAAGGCTGCACACCATCCAGCAGTGCATGCTTCAACAGCAACTGCCATAGTCCAAATAAGAATCTCACCTTCCTTACATCTACACTTTTACATACAAATAGCGAGAGTGCTCTGACACTTTTGCAAGAACAGATAAGATTCTGAAAATGGTGTAAAGATTAAGAGACATGAGTAACACATGCCAGTATTCAGAACTCCAGCCACAACCTCACCTTGCTCTAGAAAGCTACTAAATGGTCAGACTGACTGAGAAGTACTGACAGTTAAGAACTCAAATTTCAGTTCTCAGAGCTTTAATTCCATACTCACAACAGACTGTTCTTTTTTAGACTCCTATGTAGCCTCTTTGTGGAGACAGTTATCATCTGCAGTCATACAGGAACGTCTAAGATGTCACAATCAACGTAACATGAACGAACTTTCCAAGTGGAAAACGTATTAAGTTGTATAGAATGATATGCATTAACTTTGCAAGCTGTTCCACACAGATTGCTCTGGTGAGTAGTCCAAACTAACTTAAGTACCTGAAATCAGGGCCTTGGAAAGTGCCTTTACTGTGAGAAAACTTTTGGAGCTTCTTGCATAGCATTAGAACATGTCCTTCTTCTTCCTGCAAGGTAAACTTGCCATTTACACTTTTTTTTTTTTTACAGCTCAGAAATATGCTCTTTTTAGAGCTAAAAAGCTCTAAAAAACAACAGATACTAACTTTAAGAATCTCCTTACACAAAATCTGTTAAAAAAAAAAAAAAAACAAAAAAACACAACAAAAACTATTACATTTATTTCATTTCAGCAGTCCTACTCATATGATTGGCAAGTCTTATCAGCAATGGAGTTCTGAAATTATCAGCCAGTGATCTGTTAAAATTGCTGTGCACCGCAGGGTTCTAGTAAGGCTTAATAAGCCTTCTTACAGGTCTGGAGCACTATATAAATTTTGTCAGAGCTGCACTGGCATAATTGGTAATACAAACTGTCTGGCTCTGTGGATGTTACAAGCTCTGGCTCCAATCCTGCCAACTCTTACGGAAGAATTTAACTTACTGCACAGAACCCACTACTCGTGCATATATTAAGCATATTTGTAAATATTTACACAGTATGGACATCTGTTGACACAGCCAGTCATCTGATAGAGGATTCAACTTAAATCCTAGTCTGCAGGGAAAGGAATTCCTCACTTGTAAATTCCTTTCTTAGGCATCAAGTACGTCAGTTCCAAAGGCTGGAAGTGAAAAGCTACAACCTGAGGAAGAGAGGAGTCAGTGAAACTGTAACAATTGGTTCTGTTGCTCTTGTAACTAGAGCAGCCCACTTTCTCAGTTCCCCCAAGGCGGAGCCCCTGCCTGGTTTCCAATCCTTGCAGAACCAAACTCATGCTACACCTTCCATCCAAGGGTGCCATTTAAAGCATTTCTCACATCATCACAGACACTTTCACAAAGCTCATAAAAATACTCCCGAGAGCTCCTTCTTGTTATCAGGTTTGGTTGAAATGAACACAAGAGTTCAAAAATTTTGGGTCAAAGAAGAAATAGGCACAGTACAAAGCTGGCTCACAATTGGGGAAGTTTCACTGCCTTAGGAAATCAAATTAGTAAAAGGGCATTTAGCAAAATACTTCCTTGCTCTGTGTCTTGGAGAGTGAAATAGGTCGTGTTCAAACATCATCCTTAACACTATAACCTTTTGTGACTTGTGAAGTTAAAGCCTTAAAATCTGATACCAGCCAGAAGTGAATGTAAAAGGGGGAAAAACATCCAACAACGCTTACTAAATGCAAAGGGAGAGAAGCCAAGACAGCCATGTTTACAGCCCACGTACAGTGCAAAATTGTTTTCAGTTGGGAGGAAGCCCTAAAGGCCACCTGTTCCGGCTCCCGTGCAAAGAGGGCCACCTCCAGGGTGCTCCTGGAGCCCCACCCAGCCTGACCCCGAATGTCTCCAGGGATGGGGCATCCACCACCTCTGGGCAACCTGCGCCAGTGCCTCATCACTCCTACTCTAAAAAAGCTTTTCCTTATTCTAAATCTCCCCCTTTAGTTTGAAACCATTTCGGCACGGCAGACCCTGCTGCCTGTCCCCTTCCTCCTTACAACCCCTTGAGGCACTGACAAGCCGCTCAGCTGTCCTGAGGGCAGCCCCAACTCTCAGCCTGTATTCCTAGGACACGTGCAGGCCTTGCTGCCCTGCTTACAGGATCTTCATAAAGTACAGAGACCTCACGGCCGATGAGGGTGAATGTTTCCCAATGAGCTTGTTAACAAAACTGAGGCACGGCACCGCCTGCCAACTAAGACGGCCCTACCACCACAGGGAACAAAGCACCTCGCTGCGGTGCGGGATTCCGGGGGTCCTGTCGGGACTTCGTGTCACAGAACCGGGGCCGGCTGCACGCCGCAAGGCACTCGCCTCCTGCCGAGCTCCGTCAGCGGGATGGGGCGGGCGAGCAAACGGCGCTGCGGATGAGCCCGTCCCGCCTCGGGGCCCCGCGGGGTTACCTGGTGCAATGAGCACCCACCGGTCAGGGTGCGCGCCCACGGGCCGCCGCTCCGCGCCGTGCATGCTCCTCCACCCCCGCCAGCCGCTCCCGCCGCCGCTCCCGCCGCCTCCACAACATGGCGGCGGGGGCGGGGCGGGGCCGGCACGAGGAGAAGCGGGAAGAAGCACCGCGCGCCCCTCCACACGAGCGCCGCAGGGCACCGCGCCCGGCGGCAAGAAGGCACCACCTCGCGGGACGCAGAGGGGGAGCGGGAGCTGCGGGAGATGCGGCGGCTGCGGCGGCGCGCATCACCCGCTCTGTCCCCCCTCCTGCTTGGGGAGAATGGCACGAGCCGCTGCAGGCGGGGCGGACGGCGGCAGAGAGGCTCAGTGTCGTCCCACCGTGCGGCTTTCGGTCTTGGGGCGCGATCGTAGCTGGTAAGTTCTGTCAGGCAGAAGCGTCCTTCTCTTACCGCTGCCCCGTCGCACGTTTTGCTTATGGAGGACGGTCGGGCGGCCACGGCTGCCCCGCGCCTGCTGCTGCCTGTCTGTGCTGAAATAAGGTCTTCCCTGCGGCTCCTCCAGCCTGAACAATTCCAGTTCCCTTACCTGCTCCCCATACGACTTGTGTTCCAGACCTTCACAGCTTCGTTGCCCTTCTCTGGACACGCTCCAGGTTCTCAATGTGTTTCTTGTAATGAGTGCCCCAAAACTGAACAGAGTACTCAAGGTGTGGCCTCACCAGAGCTGATACAGGGGGATGATCGCCTACCGGCTCCTGCTGGCAGCACTGCCTCTGATACATGGCAGGATGCCACTGGCCTTCTTGGCCACCTGGGCACACTGCTGGCTCATGTTCTGCCAGCTTTCAGCTAACACGTGTTAAAGCCCAGACTGGACATGGCCCGATCAAGCTGCTGTCATTGGCCCAGCTTGGGGGTCCTGGTGGACGAGAAGCTGGACATGAGCCAGCAGTGTGTGCTTGCAGCCCGGAAGGCCAACTGTGTTCTGGGCTGCATTAAAAAAGGGGTGGCCAGCGGGGAGAGGGAGGTGATTGTCCCCCTCTACTCGGCTGTTGTGAGGCCCCATCTGCAGCACTGTGTCTGGGCTTGGGGGCCCCAGCTCAAGAAAGATTCAGAGCTCTTGGAATTGGTCCAGAGGAGGGCACTGAGATGATCAGAAGTCTGGAGCACCTCTTCTATGAGGAATGGTTGAGGGAATTGGGCTTGCTTAGCTTGAAGAAGGCTCTGGGGAGTCCTCATTGCAGCCTTCCAGTACTTGAAAGGAGCATATAAACAGGAGGGGGAACGGCTGTTTATGAGGGTGGACAGTGATAGGACAAGGGGGAATGGTTTTAAACTGAGACGGGAGATTTAGGTTAGATATTAGGAGGAAGTTTTTCACTCAGAGGGTGGTGACGCACTGGAACAGGTTGCCCAAGGAGGCTGTGGATGCCCCATCCCTGCAGGCATTCAAGGCCAGGCTGGATGTGGCTCTGGGCAGCCTGGTCTGGTGGTTGGTGACCCTGCACATAGCAGGGGGTTGAAACTGGATGAGCATTGTGGTCCTTTTCAACCCAGGCCATTCTATGATTCTATGATATGATTCTATGATTCCAGAGGTGCATAATATCCTGGTAAATGTGTCCTGCACCTACCAATAGTCCCAAGGAGACGCAGTCACAAATCTGGAACCATGCATATGCATACATGTGCACGTGTACATAAACTTATTGTTACCAGCACAAGAATGGGCTGATGGCCACTGTCCCAGAGATTTAGAAGACAAACATTGTATGTTATCAGAAGTATTAAAGTATACATATCAATTGTAAATCTCAGAGATATGAAACAAATATTAAAAACATACTGACGTTTATGCCCCCAAACATAACACAGCTAACCAAGGCCAACATATGCAAAACAGCTGAGCTGATGTAAGGCTGAAAAAAATAATTTCCTCAAGTCAGAGCATATACATTCATAACTCTGAGATTACACTAATCTAAATTTGTTTTTTTAATTTTCCTGTTTCTTTTTTTTCCCCTGCCTGAAGTGAGGCAGGATATAAATGCCAAAGACCACACTGCACCATGTGTTTTGAAGAAGTCCCTGCTGAAATCACAGAGCAGTTCTGCTTTCAAAGTGACTGCGAGTTGCCCTAGCACGTGCCTGGATTGCAGCATTTGCTGATGGATCTTGTAACACTCTTTGGTACTTGTTTTAATGAAGAGAGAAAGAGGCTCCCACCTGTCCCACCGTGACCCATACAAGAGCACTGGAAGAGCAGAGCAGGATTTGTTGCTGCATTCAAAACCTTTCTAGAAGTAAAGCCTCCCATATGGTGAAATGGTTCTCTGTAAATAACAATAACAGTTTGACTTCTGGTCCTGAAAAGACAATGTGATGCATGGTAGGCTGTTGTACACTGCCATGCTTTACAAGGCTCAAGAAGACGGGAATCCAGTCCTGCAAGCACCAGTTGCAGTATCAAACTCAAGCCCAGAGGCATCACCTGTCTGTTCCAGAAGTCTTGTTTCCTCTCTGACTGTTGTTTGCAGCATCTTGTGTGATGGAAGTGTTATAGCAAACATTTCTATACATTTGCAAAACTGAGTTGTCAAGCTCGTATTTTCAAAGCACCAATCCTTCCTAATTTAGGCACCTGGTAAGCAAGCTCATTTTCAGATGTGCTGAGTGCTTAACATCTGTTGAACTGAATGGGTATTCCAGATGACCTCCCCTCCCCTCCTTTTTTTTCCATGAACTTCCACTTAACAATGTTTTTCTCACGTACTTCAAAATGCCCCAAACTGAAATTCTTGAATGGGCCTGAATAATGTTTTAAAATGACATTGGTTTGGAATAAAAATAATGCAGTGATTTATACGTATTAAATATTTAAAGCTTTCTGTTGTTGCTCACACACATTTGTGATATACTATCTGTCTTTATAAACCAATTATATATTATATCATTACAAATAAAAGATATACTAATTTGAGGTTTCTCTGTCAGAAGCTGATGGTAGTAAAAACTCATTTGCTTAAGGATTAAATATTTTTCCTCCAGGCTTGCCAGCATTTTTAAACCTTACTGATACCTGCCAGGAGAAAAGGAAAAGGAAAAAGGAAAAAGGAAAAAGGAAAAAGGAAAAAGGAAAAAGGAAAAAGGAAAAAGGAAAAAGGAAAAAGGAAAAAGGAAAAAGGAAAAAGGAAAAAGGAAAAAGGAAAAAGGAAAAAGAGAAAGCCTCAGTTTAAAACACTGGATTGCTCTGAACTGTTGTGGTGATATCATTGTAAATACTCAAATCTTAATTTTACACACATGGGTCCAAATGACTCATCACTACAGAAAGCTAAATAGATGCAATATGGGACTGCATCCTATCGGAGGCCAATCATTTTACACATTTCAGAGCCATTTGATATGCATTCAAACCTCACCTGCATGTTGTCCATTCATTCACTTCTGTTAGGGCTGTTTCCAATAATCCAAATGTCTGCACAAATGCAAGCATTCCTTTTTGCCAAACAAAAATTACTTTCTGCTGCCAAAGAAATGCTACCTTTGTCCACCTTCAGCTGTGGAATTTATCCCTTTCTCCTCTGCTACACAAACTTGAAATCAACAACTTCTAAATTTTACTTGGAGCAATTGAACCAAGGTTTAGAAAGAAGCATGATTCATTGCTAAGTAAAGGTTGTTTAAAAGACAGAAATGATTCCGCTTATGATTATGTTTCATTTTACAGTTTTCCAACACACAAATTACAATTATGGCCAAATTTATCAATTCATGCTTTGGTGGTCCAAAGATTTACAGTCGTAGCTTTAAATCCACTGATCTGCAGGTTTAAGGGTCAGCTGTTTGCGTGGAACAGTGCTACATTTCAGAAGAGTAAGAGCCCAGTTGATACATGTAACTTTAGTTTAAAAATAATTACAATTCATTTTATGCTATGTAGTATGAAATACTGTTCTTGTTACATGTCACATTATTGTTTTGTTTGGTTTTGCTCAAAACAAAAATGCTCCTGGCATTGAAACAAGTTTATTTTTCTTCTTATTTTTCTTCCTATTAGACAAGAATCACAGCCCTTCATCCTCATGACTAATGGCAGATACACTGAAAAGGAAAAACAACAGATAAATACAAAAACTGAAAAGGCCAACAAAATTGTGTAAGGAAACATGAATCATGCTTCATTGCACATTAAAATGAGCTCATTTAAATGACAAATGGTATATTCTTAGCATACTCCAACAGAGCATAAGCTGGTGATGGAGTATCTGTGTTCTGACCCACTAAAACAAATCACAGTCCTTCCTCATTACGTGACCAAAAGTACTCTCTGATGCAACCAAAGCACAACATCTATCACCCACAGTACAGGCAATGGGATCATCTCATCACACATGCGATGGGATCATCTTGTCACACATACAAAGTCTCATTCTGTGACAGGAATAATTGCCATTTTGGTCATATGAAACACATGTGCTGGCATATACGAAGAAAAACATCCAGGTGTGCAGTCCTCTTGTCCACCAGAATAAGTTTCTTTGCCTCAGAAAATGATCTCCCTATATCAGTCTTTCTCAATTCAGTAATACTTGAGAGCTTGTTAATTCCTACCCTTTAATCCTGGTGATCTCAGAGGGTTTTTGTGCAACTCAGAAGATCATATAGAGCCCTAGAATAGAGATGGCATAGCCAGAAAGAACATGCACAGGAACAATATATTTTTATGATTTGAAATCTTTGGGTGCATTCTTTTCTACTGTACGCTAATTTCTTTGTGATTATCCATCCAGTGCTATCATGTGCAATTGACAGTAAAAAGATATCACAGGTCAGCAACAGTATTTTTCATTAGATTAAACAAATAAAGAAATAAATAAAACACCCAACAAACCACCAACATTTAATTAATTATTTTATTTGTAGAGACTCAGTTACACTATTGCTTAAATGTACAGAGTATACAACATCCAAAGCAGAGTATATATTTTTTTTTCCCATACCTTCTGGACAGACTGATTTTGTTTGCTTATCATTTCTATCTTTTTAAAATGTTGCAATAATTAAAAACCTGATGTAAATCAAAAAGCTCTTCCTGAGACTGAAACACTATGTTTTTCTTATGAACCTCAGCAGAAGG